TAATCACATTACCTGTGACATAACTCTCCCTAATCACATTACCTGTGACATAACTCTCCCTAATCACATTACCTGTGGCATAACTCTCCCTAATCACATTACCTGTGGCATAACTCTCCCAAATTTTCTAATGGTTGTAAAGTTCCTGTACTAGAATCTCCATGACAAATACTCAGAACATTGGGACGATACTGAACAAGTGCCTACAGGTTAAAGAGAAAAAAAAGATTTTCACGTGACATTTTTCACCAACACTTGTATAATAAAAACATCAGAAAAGTATTAATAACAAGAACCTATAAGTGTGTCAAAAAGAAAGAATGAAAGAAGTGGCACTATAATTATTTCAAGTAATAAATACTGAAACCATTAGTCAAGTATTATTGCATGGTTATTTCAAAGTTATTTCAAATAAAACAAATAATTCTCAAGAAACAATAAAAATCTACATCAGGATTCTTGTGTAATTCTGGGTTGGATCTCATTTTGCAGTAACAACAACCTGTACTCAGAGTTACAGAATTCACAAGATGCCATAAGGTGTCTTGTTCAAACATCGCCTATTCACTGATAAGCTTGGTCTGAAAATTGTTCACAGTTGCTTACAGAAGACCGTTAAGATGAATGTGAAATAAACTAGAAGATTCAGATGGTGTCTATGCCTTTTACAAGCTGACAAAAAATGGTTACAATTATACTTGTCATACAGTAAGTAAAATTGTAATCATTCTTTGCCAGCTTGCAAAAGGCATATGCAACATGACAGCTGCTGTTGTACCAGATAGTTTATATAAACAGTGTTCCAACCACTGCTATGTTTTTTGTTTCCCAACCAGCTTGAATATTTGTGAATTGAGTGAAACATGTAGTCAGCAATGGATACAAGAAATACAGCGTGGTTGAAATAATACTATTATTACACACTTTTCTGATTTTTGAAAATCCTTAAGGGCCTAAATTAAGAATGTAGTGTTTAAAAAGGTAATAGGACTAATAATAATGTCTTATGACAAGAGGATTGAGATTTCAACATCGATTATTTTGGCCAAAGAAAGTGACTGATTACATTGTCATGTTCTTGGAATCAATTTCAAACTAATATGAGTGTTAATGATTGTTGCATTATTGTTTTGGAAAAAAACATTGCCTGTCAGGGTGGAAATGCAGCATTGTGGGCGTGGACATAACTGTCAATTTAGGTGCACTCTATATTTAGTCATCCTTCCAAAGGTTCTACAATTTTTCAGGCTTGAATACCACTTTTCATTTAATCTTTTTCTGAAGTACCACACATGGCTAATTTAAAAAAAACAACGAAAAAATCTAGCAGAAAAATTACCTTATAATAGTTGTATTGTCGTACTGGACGAGCCAATCTCTGTGAAGCTATACGTACTAGAACTCTTGAATTTAATATGTGGGTCTTTGAAAACTTTTAAAGCATTTCATAAACATTAAAAGCCATTGTACACAAAAAAATCAGATTTATTAATAAAGCATTTTACTACAGATTTGTCTGTAAATCTGTGATGTAGCTGTAGTAAACAATTTATATTTTTTACATTTACCCATTTAATGGTAAGGATGTGACTGCTTTTTCTGGCACAACTGAAAAATGTCTGGTGTGATTTTTGTCAGTTTCAAGTGAAGGTTGGGTTTAGCATTCAGCCTTGTTCTGTATTTATTTTTATTGACACTAAAGTTAACCCTGTGTTAGTCTTCTGTAAACATTTTCCATAGTCACTGTTCCGGGGTCCAAGTGGATCCCATCATAAAAACTTAATTTAAAAATATTAGATAATAATAAACTATTATTTTGGAAACAAAAAACATTAACACTCAAAATCTTTTCCTTTATATTATAACTTGTTTCTTTTTTTGCCACCTAAACTCATTGTAAAAATTTAACACAAACTAGCCAAATACTGAAGCTATTGAGAAAAACAAACATGTACATGCTTCAATCAGTCGACACCGATGTTTAAAAAAATATTTGTGGTCCGTGAAGACCCAGGAAGATTAACGCAGTATTAAGAATGCATTTTCACACAAGCATGAAGTTGTAAAAATTTTAAAGCCACGTCAGATAATGATCTATTCTCTAACTTTCAACCAAATAACTGTTAAAAAAAAACCTCTGAAAAACTCTTTTTAAATAACCGTCACAAGAAAAGAAAGATCATTTAAGTCTTCTTTTTATTTTAATAAAAAGTGTGCAGGATATTCTTAAGTTGTCACATAGAAGGAGCGACTAATCCACTGTTCAAAGAAAACATCAGGATAATATTCCCGAAGTTGATTACCTGCAACATTATTCAATATCAGACAGAATAACTGGAGTCATCTCACAGGGGAAGAGTTTAGAAATGCTGAAGACTGTGTGTGTGATTTGTGGATGGGTTTCTATCTGAGAAGCTCAATATGAGCTTCTCAGAAATTTCATAATCTTTACATGCATTTTTTTCTTGTACTATTGACATTATAGCTTCATGACAACTAATGATAGCTTGAGAAACCATGACTTAATGGAACCATTACACCTATCTCTATGCAATATTGAAATCATGTTTTTCTCTTTGCATCTTGGATACATGTACAATTTTTAAAGTGACTTTGACTGCCATACTACAGTTTTTGTATTGTCCCTCACATAGTAAAGTTCGAGATAGAGAATTCACAACTAAGGAAGTGATTAATTGGGACATTGTCTACATCTTCCAAGTTTATCTATTCGTTTTCTAACACACCCTGTCACCATCAGCTGGTACTCACAGTTCTATGATATTTCTTTCTGATTGCTACTGTTGACAATGTCTTTAAAAACAGTCTTTGTTGACGATGTTCCTTCTTCGTGGTCACCTAGTATCATGCCTTTTTGAAAATCAGAGAGATCTTTACTTTTATTCACTGTCTTGTAGCATATCTATAATATGACTATGTCTCCACACTTATAGGGTTCAAGTAACTACTTATCACACAACACTACCAATCTTCTCCTGATGTGAAATCAATTGGAGTGTTCTACAAATGTTTCAGTGAGGGTCCTATAAAGTGTCTAGTCAGTATATTACTACATTGCTCACAAACTGAAGTCAGCAAACTGATAGCATTTTGTGAAACACTAATTTGTTATTTTGAAATAAAATAAAACTTATCTACATATACTTGTTAAAGTCATGCAGTATTGTACGTACTTTTTCAAGTTCTTCAAGAGAAAACACTTCTCCAACTGGGACAAAAACCTTGAAAGTATTTGCTCCTATAAGAGAAATAATTTTTCTTAAATAAAACAAATCTCTATATAAAAATCATGTACGTTTCTAAATATATATATATATATATATATATATACAGGTCTAATGATCTATTGTGATGGATTAGGATGCTAAGAAACATGACTTGTCCAGGTTTGGGTTACACTAGTGATCTGAGTCTGATATTCTGCTAATTGAGTTACCAGGACTTTAGTTTCAAGCATTCAATTCCCCATTCTGACTCTTAAAGTATCCCCTTAATAAAGGCTTACTCTTGAGCCAAAGATCCATGTTACTGTCTACTATGGAATAATATAGCACAGTATACTAGGGGGGGTCAAGTATGCTCAAGAATGGTATAATGTTCAATGGGCACTATTATAACATTTCAGAATAGGGATAACTCTGTCAAGACCTAGACAAGAACCAGTAATATTCAGCTTAAGAAAGAAAAAAAAAGGGAAAAGTATTATAACATATGTAACTTTTACCACAATGGATACAAGATGTGTAGCCATACATTAAAATAATCAGTTAACTGAGAATAACCAAATTATAACATATTATACACATACTGGTTGATACGTAGAATAAGATAACTTGTCTAATATTTCAAATGCCTTTTTCACTAAGCCTAAAAGTAAAGGTATATTACAAAATAAAACTGCCTATATTCTTTACTATATGTATATATGCATCCTCTAGCAACACATTCCATAATGCAGTTCTTTTCATCAATGACAGCCAAGACTAGAGCAACATGAATATCTGCAACCTTGACCTAAGGGTTAGCTGGTATGAAGGTTGGAATTCATTCCCATCCTTTAACATCTATGTTATCACTATATATTATGGATCATGTATTTGTAATATCAAAGTTTGACTCAGTATTTATATATATAGCACATAATGATGTTAAGAAAAATATCCCCATGACAATTGACAGTACGTAAAATATAAACATCTTACCCAATTTTATTTACACTTAGTTTTATTTGATATATTGTTTAAAAAGAGAGATGCTTGTAATAGAAAATTTTGCCGTTTCACATTTTGATTAACGATTGAGAGAGTAACTTATGTGTTAACATGCCTTTGGCAAAATGCTTATATGTGTTTTGAGTTCACATTTCTATAACAACGTATTTGAAAAAACAGGATAAGAACAACATGTAGACGTACAGGCTGTATTTTAGGGTGTGAAATGTGCACAGCACCTCCTTGACAGAATCAACTACTCACAGACTGAAGACCAAATCCAAATATGCGCACTCAGATCATAGTTGAGTTTACAAAATGCCTTGTTGCTCCTGGTACACACATACATTTTATAGGAACCCTTATTATTTACATACTCTACACTAAACGAAATAGCTTGCCTAAGATGGCATAACTCAGTAATGAAATATATTATCTCATCTTGGTAAAGCACAGAAAGTCATTAAACTGTATCCATTTAGACCCAAACTGCACTTTTCCGAGCCCATTCTTCTTTCTCTATTAAATCCTTAAGCTGATTTCTTTGCTAAACCAGCTTGTTTGGGAGAGAGGCTAGCTGAAACATCCAGTCTGCAAGGACATTTTCCCCACTCACATTCTGGACACTCCAAGGTCAAAATGCATTGCAAAAAGTACAAAATATGTGAGTGTAGACTCCAAAGTAATGAAAATGGAACTACATTATGGGCTTTTTTTTATCTTGCTTTTGATAGATTATACTAACAATTGTATTGTTTCAGCCACAGATTCTGTTTATTTCCTTTGGTTAAGAAGTATGCCTTCCTTGTCACAAGCCCCATGTCATGGGATTGCCTACAGAACCACAAAAGGTAGGACCAAGATGAATAATCAGCCTTTAATGAATTAATGAACTATACATAAGCAGAGATTACATAAATTAATGTCTCATACACTAGTAATTTAGTGTCAGGAAAATAAATGACTAATCTATTTGTGTTTCTGGTTATTATTGTTTTTGATTATCCCCACAATTGATTAACCAAAATAATGATTACATCAACTGTCACAAAACTAATCAACTAATCATGAAAATACTCAACTAATCAAAATTATGATTCCATCTATTTACCACTTCCAATTATTCCAACTATCTAAATTGTTTGTTTGTTGTTAAGCACAAAGCTACATAATGGGGGTGGGGGTGGGGGGGGTGAGATTTGTGATTTCAACATTTGGTTATAGTGCTACGCAAATGAATTTTAAATGTTGCTTCATATAACTCTCCTTTCCCCGATAAAGACCACCCAGTGTAGCACAAAGCTACACAATGGGCTATCTGTGCTCTGTCCACCGCGGGTATTGAAACCCGGATTCTAGCATTGTAAGTCTGCAGACATATAGCTGTGCCACTGGAGGGCATTGTAAAAATGAAATATTGTTGCAACTGGTTTGGAGAAGTTAAAAACTGTTGTTACTTGTTAACACAACAATTCAATATTATTTGAATAAACTTTCTAGTTTTATTCTTATTCATTCCATACTGGTTTTCAAACTTTATAAGATAAAGTTTTACTTTACAAAATAAGTTCATGCTATTCTAATTTTGATATTCTTTTATTTTAAATTTAGGCCACTTGAAGAATATCAAAGAATACTTTGGTTAAGTACTCATTTCCCTAATGAATAAAATGAGACCTCAACATTGTCATGAACATACTTATAAACACATAAAACAATAATGAATTGTCTGGAATAAAAAGTCTGAAAATGCATACCTTGGAGGTTTTACCTACATAGGATGTTCTACATAAAAAAAACAATAATTCATAGTAATGTCAGGAGACACACATAAAACCAAACAAACAAAAAACACAATTCAAAGGTTACATCAAATGTTTGATTGATATCAAGTACTTTATTAAGATTTACACTGTTGACACAACGTTACACAATCACTCATGCCTCATCAGATATCTTGGGCCAACACCTCAGAAATACCATAAACTTCTCATCAAATGATCGATTCTATTTTGACAATTTGAGTAATTACCATAAATAACCAGCTCAAGTAAAATGGTAGGATAAGGTACCAGGATCACCACCAGAACCCCTCAGAAATACTACAGCAAAGATAATACAATAACTTGCTGAATGTTGTGTACCAGGCTGACATAGCTAAACCTTGCAGAGCAAGGTGAAGTTTGAGTTATACTAAAAAAACATTTATTAAACCATTCAAATATGAATTTAAAATACAACTAATACATAATTAACTAAAATATGAAAGTAAAACCTAAATGGAACTTAAATGTCTATCAAACTAATATGTATAATGTGAGAAAAAAAAGCTAAGTGCTAGGGACAATGATCTTCAACAACTGAATTAGCGGCAGTTCAATCTGATTGTAAATGGATATTGCATGCCAGTTTCAATATATCCTTGAGAAATTGTAGTTAAAATCAGCTCCTTCTATTGGTTAAAAGCACGCCATTCAATACTAAACTGTTGCTTAGCAACATATTTTTTACTTTCGTAAGTGGGTGTGGCTACTATCAGTGGGGGAGAAATATTTACAGCTTCCTCTTTCATCGACTTCAAGTGTAATTTGAACCACTTGTTTGTTTAGCTGCATTTTACCCATACACTGACATGTGTAGACCTTCTCTACATATACTTCAGACTAAATAGAAACGAAATAGAAGAAATGCAAGCTACGATATTATTAACTACAAGAGTATCACATGACTACAGAACTGAAGTTATAATTACTGGTTTAGAGGTTTCTTTTGAAATAAAAGAATGTAAACTTATGTAATATAAAACTCTGAATTATAATGCACATGATAATGCTAATTTCATTAACATACATTGATAGTAAAGTTGTTTAATTAAATTTTTAAAACTCTGTTACATGTTCAGAAACGAATTTAAAGAATATGCTTCAGTCAATTGGTTAATACATGACTTTCATTAGTCACAGCCACAACATAAATAGATTTGTCACTGTAGCAATTATTTTACACCAAAACAAACTCAACTTTCTGTGCACTCAAAAAGTTCATGTGTTTGTTTTATCTCAATACTGAGACATTTCTTCTCAGCAGCCATATTAACATTGATAATCTTTTCTCCCCTTCAATGGAATCGTCAACTTCTACTCAAGAAAACTTATCACACAGTAAGCAGAGCAATCCTCAATTGTAATTAGGTAAACTATCCCATACAGCATATTGCATTTTGACTAGGGATGTTACTAATGCGGAGATTTCTCTCATGAATTACACATGTATGTTTGGGGATTTTCACACACACATTATTACAGTACCTTGGAAGGCAGGCTGTGAATTAAGCCTTGTAGTACAGTGCACCAAATAAAAAGAAACATTGTGCTTTTTTTTTTTAAGATGAACTGAGATGGCAGATAGATTTGACACAAATGTGAAAATAACATGGGAATTATCACTTTGTTGATAATATTCTCACATTGCTTACATTCCACTGCATCTTCCTGGTTCAACTCTGAAATGCTTGCACATGGCAGTACATGCAGCTCTGAAATCTGAAATAATTTGGTTATCCAAAGAACAACCTCAGTCAGTAATGCTTGGAATACTTGTTTGTCTGATAGAATTTCTGATCATCTCAGTTGATCATTAAATCTGTTCACTGATCAGGTGAAAATAGTTTACCTAGACAAAGGAATATATATGCAATATAAAACAAAGAAGTCACATAACTGGATATTGCTTAAGGCTTAATAAAGGTATCTTGTTGCTGTTTGGTTTTTTTGTTTCAAATTGCAGGCTTTTACCTTTCTACAGATATACCATGGATTTATTGAGCTGCAAGGTAGGTCTGTAAATTTTATTATTTTTATCACGTTCACCAGATAAACTAGAAGTGTCAAATATATTTACTGTTTAGCAAGTATGATAAATAATTGGAAAATATTCTTATGACTCAAAAATCTTTACTGAATATTAAGTTTATCCTATTCAAACAATGTATATAAATAAATTGGCTAACTGGTCATTTAATTAGTTTTAGCTGTAACTGTAATAATAAACTATTTCCATTATTTAGTTATCAAATTATATGATTTCCAGAAGATCAATGAGGGATTACTATATATTTTAAAAACAATCATAATGGCAATGGCGTGGTGGTATTTAGCCAACATTAGCAATTCATTTGCCAAGTAGAAAATGTCCAGGTTATCTTCATGAAAATAATTCTGGCATAATATAATGAATTGACTTAATTTAAATATGATGCTGCCTGTGGATCATCGTCATTGGGTTAGGGTGATCTTACTTTTCAAAACCAAGAACGTTTTTTTTCTATATGTTTTGAAAGAACAGTGTTAGTTAATTCATATTCTTCAATCTTCCTTCTTTAATTATACTTAGTCCGTCTCTCTAAAGGTCCTGCACACAAGTATGCTGTTCATTTAGAGAAATCTACAGATAAAATAAACAAAAAACTTGATATTCATTTAAGAGGTTTTAGATTGAGGTTATGCAAATGAAATATGAAAATTTTTTAAATTAAATCAAGTATTTTTATTCCTATCATAAAATTCACCTTTTACACAGACTGCCTCAGTAAATTCTCAGACAAATCTTTAGTAGAAACACTGTACTAAACAATCTGATTTTCTGAGTACACCATACTTTCATGTTTACCAAAAGATTGCCAAATTTCATAAATATAAACAAAGTTAATTCTGAATTATAGTAACCATTGAACTCTTCAGTATAGGCTCAGTACATAATGTATGCAGAGTTAAATTAGATATGCACTAGTGGTATTTTGCAACAGCCTTGAATAAGCATGTCAACTTGATTTGAAGTACATTCTGTTAAGATAGGACAACTTGTATTTTTCAAGTCTTACTTTTTAAAAAAACAAACTTGTCTTAAACTTGGGCCATTATGGTATTTTTACACAAAAAATGTTTTTTTTTTATACAAAAACAGGTAATAGCATGATAGAATAATGCAGTGTTTGAAAAAGTTATGAACCTATTGCACACCCTTTGTTTCTGCTCGTACAGGTGTGAGTCTAGAGGTGCATACACTAATCCATTAAGCTAACATAATTAATTAATTGATACCTCTAATCACCCAGCTCTATAACTGGTTACAATAATTATACAAGTTGCTATGTTGACATCATTGTTTTAGCCATTAGCAAAATGTGTGTGTTTAGTGGATGAAACATTCTTATATAATATCTATAATCATCTTATAGGCACCCTTTGTTCATTATGATCAAATTAAGTATGCCAAGATGAAATAAATACCAGGTCAAGTCTGGTAGTAAACTAAAGGTCTCGTACCACATCTTTCTGCAATATCAGCAACTCTTTGTCCCCAGATGCCATGTACAGCTATCAAAAGTTTTTCTCCTGGCTGTAGTAGGTTGAATACAGCAGCTTCGATAGCACAGTGACCTGTGCCACTGATAGCTAATGTATAAGGATTTGTTGTTTGAAAAACATAATGTATCCCTGCCTTGATATCAGACATAATCTGAAAGAAAAAAAAGACATTCCGATAAATGATGAACTGAATTTTATGTTCTATTAATCACTTCCATACTGATAGTTATTCAGAGCCTGTATTACCTGTTCTTGTTGGTATTTCTGCAATAAATTGATGTTCAATTCTATTTGATAATTAGGTTTTGCTGTAACAAGTTGACTGATGAATTCTCTGTTATTTTAAAAAAAGAAATTGTTATGAATATTATACGTGAAATTGGCTGTATTATTTTATATGTTGTACTTTTTTTTTTCAATGATGTATGTGCATGTATTTTGTTTAGGAGTAAGTTGGTAGAGTTTAGATCTTCAAATAGGTGCCAGAGTGACTTATGGTAAGTAATTGTGGGTGAAACTGACTTTCAAAAGGCTCAGAAAGATGCAGCACATTATCCTTGAAGAAGTTAAAGATAGGTTTGGGAAAGATTGTACAATCAGAGAGAGAAAATAAAAGATAATGAGGTAAAAGGAAGCAAGACAAGAAATGATAGAATTAGGGTTAAGGTTGTTGTCGAAGAGGGGATGAATGGATTTACAGAGGTGCATGGTAGTACAAAATGTTAACTACAGAGGCAGGTTCAACAGGTTTTGAGGAATCAGTCTCTAACAGATTTGGCTGCTTGTAATGAGAAAGATGATCAAGGGGTGTGTTGTGGTATTTCCAGGTAAAACTGAATGAACTTCAAACAGTTGAATAGGTCTGCTTAATAACAGGAGATTCAGTCAAGATATATAGCATGAAATACTTCTATATCTCTGAGTAACTACATCAGGAAATTGAATTAAATAAAGAGAACTTGACTTGAAGTGAAACATTAAATGAACAATCCTTATTTGTATCAAACTTAAAACATAGTGTTAGGTATTTGCCTTTGATATGGAACAATTGCATATTCTAGATATTCTATATTTAGTTGTTCAAGCTGTAGTCATACACCACACTAACTAGGGTAGAACAGGTATTATTCACTAGAGAATAACAAAGGAACAAAGTAGGATAACAATTTAACAACTTTCTTGATCATGTTATGTGAAACCTGCAGATATACAGAATAAAAAATTAATTCAGAATAAATACTATAATTTTACAAGTTACAAATACATATACATACTTAGGAACACAGAAAGACTAGGACTAAAATTTGCTTTCCAAGTGTTAAAGTATAGAACATTACAGTGTATGTTAACAGTTTAGCTGCTGGTACAAAGGATCTTGTTTTGTAGTACATGTAAGAGTGAATGATGTTAGAGAAGTAGTAAATCAGAAAGAGATACTTAAGTATAAAGAACTCCTTCAGAATTTTACGGACAGAAATAAAACATGAGACCCTTTCTGGAGTTCTCCCCGAGATAGGTGCAGGAACAAATTAATTAGTGGGATTCAAAGCTTAAATGAATAATTATCAAGGACATACTTAAAGTAACAAGTGGGCTGGAATGACTTAAGGGATATGTTTTAGGATGAGGGTGAATTATATGCTAGAGTTGGGTTCCACTTAAGCAGGTTAGGTAAGGAAGATTATCAGTGAAACTTTAAAGAAATTCAATAAAGACAATTTAAACTTAGCTAACATAGGAGTGAAGAAACTAAGGAAATTGCAAATAATTAAATTAATAGGATATCTAGAGCAGTAAAGATATTGGAAAAAGATTTATTTAAATTATCACAAGTAAAATAATAGTTTTAGAGACACGTCTGTCAGATTTAGGATAAGCTTGATTTCTATTATTCTGATGCTAGGAGTATCACAAGCCAAATAGATAAATTCAGGACTCAAGTTGAAATGATATAATGGGGATTATTGAAACTTTTTTAAAGAGGTTTGGAGGATATTGATAATAGAAGTTATTTTGAAAGTCCAGGGTATAAGTTACATAACTGATAGATTTTATTTCAGAGATGAAATACACCCCGTTGTGAATGAGTAGAATAATTAACAGACAATTGTTATAGACCACGTAACCATACAGATGATTTAATTAGATCAGGTTGCTACTAATAATGATCCTGATACAATAATTATTGGAGATTTTAATTTCAAAAACAGTGATTGGGATTGTATGGAGTCAAATTGTCAGGAAGAGATCTTTCTCAAAGTGATTCAGATCGTTTTCAATACAAAATGATAAGACAGCCAAGCAGAGGAAATACATTTTTTTTAATTACCTGTTAACCATTAATGAGGATGTGGATATACAAGATGAGGAGGTGAAAATAGTTTGAGAGAAATGATCATTGTATTATTAGGTTTGATTTTTTACATGTTGAGATGAAAATAAATGAAATTTTAGTTCCAAGCCAATCCTGATGCCATGAGACAAGATTTATCATTAGATTATTGGGAAAAAGAGTTAAAAAGTATTGTGTGAAATCTTTAAAAATAATTGATTTTAATTCAAGATAGGAATGTTCCTAACAAGCAGAAGTGGGAATTAAGGTCCAACACAACTGGTTTACGAAAGACATAAAGGAGAAAAGGATATATAAATGCCATAAGTTTAAACAGTTTAAACCTATGAGGTAAGACAGAAGATTTACAGAACAATAGGACAGTTGGGGATTTGATTTAAAAAAGATATTAGGACATCTAAAATGACCTACGAGAAACAGATGGCTGATGGTTGAAATTAACAGCATGAATTTTTTAAGCATGTTAAAAGTAAGGAAGATTATAAAATGTATGTATTTGGCCCTTGCTGATGACAAGGTTTTTGTTGAAAATTATGAAAAGGTTGAACTTTCAAATGTTTTCTTCTATTTTTACAAGAGAATATTTAATGAGAAATAGTGGAATTGACCTGAATCATGTAGATACTAATCTTTCGGCACAGATTTAATATCAATGGGAACAAACTCAACAAAATAACTGAAGTAAAAGATCTTGGCATAGTGCTGGATAACTCACTCATGCCATTAAACAGTTCAGATAAGGGCTACTAGGATGATTCCAGGGGGTAGAAGAGCTAATTAACACAGTTTTATTTTTCTAAGATGGTGATTGACTTATCTAATGAATTGCTATCAGTAGTAGTGAAGGCTGGAACTTTACAGCAGTTTAAGAAGGGAGTTGATTATTCCCTGAAAAATAAAATCTGTTTTGGTTTTTGACTTTTTTAAGGGTTGTTATGAATTATTCTTTGTTGTCTGTATGTTAAATAGCTAGTAATTAATAATGTGATCTTCTTGGCTAGTCTACTGTGTGGCGAATATTTTAAAATGTAAGTACACCAAATCCACACTTTTTTATCATTCAGATAACAGATTAGTAAGGCAAGGTTGCTATTGGGTGAATCCTTGCTGGATTTCTTTTATATTTCACTAAATAATTTTGCAAATATTTTCATTACACCATCTAGAATTTTTTCCCATTACAGAAGTAAGACTGGTTGTTAATAACTATAAGAGGGCAATTATTAACACCTCTTTAAAAATAAGAGTAACATTAGTAGCCATCCACTTCTCAGGGATCTATTAGAAATAAAAGATAGGCTATATAATTGATACTTTTAGGAGAAGTACAAGCGTCTTTGTTTTTTTCCTCAATTCTTTTATTGATTTTTAATCTTTCAACCTTACCACCAAGGGTGTTAATATTTAAATAAATCAATCCAATTCCAATATTTCACATAGAAAGCTCAGGGTCAAGAATATTGCTAACATCATCTCTTCTAAAAACAGAAGAGAAAAAACAAATTAAAATCTTACACATCTCAAAGTTTTCAACAAAATCTTTGCCATCAGCATCTTTCCAATACCCAATTAAACATTTTGCTTAACTTTAATGTAATTTTGTAATATGAGGTATCAAAATAAAAAGAAACAAAGTATATAAAAAAAAACAATGTTACATGGGTACATTTTGAACCCATACCTTTAAAAGTTCTGGATGTAGATAACCAATGAGAGGCTGGGAAGCTGCAGCTAACACACGAGTGCTGCAGTTAGAAGGTCCAGGACCCATCAAAAGCTTTTGGGGCACTTGAATGGGTAAAAAAAGTTCTGCTGGTGGTCTCATGTCTAAGCTAATTTGTTTGAAGTGTTTGGTCCACTTCTCCATCCTTTGTTCTACAAAAAAGTAACTTATTAATTCTTCTGCTAAAAAGTACTGATATACTGAAGCAAAATAACTTGGTTTATATGGATATCAATAACATGGTTTATATGGATATCAATGGTCATATGGTTATCAATGGATATCAATAACATGGTTTATATGGATATTAAATAAAGACATGTACTAAATACCATTTTGAAAGTTTGACAGAATGCATAACAGAAAAAGGGTGAACAAATTGTTTTAGCATAGAAAATATTCTATTACAGATAAATTTCCACTTATTTATCTCTCCCCAGTGGCACGTCTGCAATATCCATGGTGGGCAGAGCACAGATAGCCCATTGTGCAGCTTTGTTCTTAACTAAAAAAACAACAACTTCTTTATCACCAACAAGAAACAAAATATGACATGTTTAAAACTACCTATACCCAATGACAGTGCATAACCTTAACTTCTAAAATGTGCATTAAAGTATTATGAAACCTTTTGGTATTTTCTTAATTTAAAATATATATATATATTATTAATAATTTTGTTAGTTCATTGGCCAATGAAAAGGTTTACCAAGTTCTTTACTACATAATATAGGTATATAAATTGTGTGTTGTTTCTCTTTGCATAGAATTTGCAGAAGAGATTTGGATATTTCTTCTGTTTTATATAATTTTCACTAATAATGGAATTTGTCAACATTTACTAAGGAAAACATGTAAGGTTCAGTAAGGAGTGCTAAAAAATTCTGCATCTTTAGTGAAAATGATGAGGTTAGGTGAAAGTTCCTGAAAAAAAATATTCCGTTTAGCATGTCGGTTCTTAGAGAGAAAAGTGAAGTAGCAGGTTGTAACAAAGCAACATGGTTTCACAAAGAAGTGATCACTCCCAAACATAAGAGAGCCAATGAGACTTTCAAGTCAGGGATCCAGATCGGTAGAAAATCCATCATTCAGCAGAATACAAGGCTCACAACTAATGCTAGCAAACTAACAAATTGCTAGTTTTACTAGAAAAACTTAGAAGGCATCATAAAAACTTGCCAGTACAAATTTGAGAAGGAATATTTGCAGATACTTACTATCAAATATCAATATATACTTCAGCAGTCATTTATATTGAAAGATTTTAAATACAGAAGGTTACTGTAACTGTTTCATTTGCTCATGCCATAACAGTTGTGAAATCCTTATTTGAACTGCTTGCCATACCCAGCCTAGATATCAGAGAATATGGATAGCAGTTAGGGATTGCAGCTTTGACTTTTTTTAATTGGTTGCCAAAGCAATCAGAAAGAGGGCCATCCAATTAGAGTTGTGCCATCTGGTCTCTGCAGAACATAGTTGTATATTACACATAATGTATATAACTACAATTTATATATATACATTTTTTAACATTAGATACATGAAATAATTAACTGTGACACAGTTACTGATAACAGTAGTTACAATTTGCCAGTGAGGAAAATAATAACTAGCAACCCTACATTTCCTAGTATCTTCAAAACTACAGTTGAAGTCTGCAATAAGATCATAAAAGACACACACAAACTGACTATTTGCATTAACATGATCGGAATCTCCCATGGGTATTGATGAGCATTAAACTCTTCACATAACTGCTTTAAATAATTGCTACAATTACAAATAACACCAGAATTTTTTGTATTCAGGTACTGTTTGTGTTGATTATAATAGTCTTTCAAATTCATACCATTCGGCTGTGCAATTTTACAGTGGGTGATCATCACCCATAAATCACAAGACCATGACATATCATGAACATCTTATTAGTCCATGGAATATCATAAATTATTCTAAACATATATTAAGCTTAATGTATGCAGAGATAGTTGAGACACAAGAGAAGGAATCTCAGTTATAAAGGACATTTAGGTTGGAAGATGATGATAAAAAAAATAAAAAAGAGGTCAAAGTCAGTCTGTTCATGGCTCAAGTGTAAATATACGTGACGTGTAGCGACTGTAAGGTCACGTGCATTGGCAAAACAAAATGCCACTTCAAAACTATGTCTGTGAAAATTTAGGAATATCTAACAGAACCAACTGTCCACTACTTAAATCCAGCCACTTATACATTTATTCACATCCTGAAACCATGGGCCCCAATATTTTATATAATGATAACTACAGGATCTTCAGACCTTGAAAGCATTGAACCCAAGGTTTTAAATAATTCCTGCAATTAAAAATAACACTAGAATTCTTCTTACTATCATACTGTTTGAGTGTTAGTCATACCTTTCCACTATATGATTTTACAGTGTTAATATATTGAGTCCTGAGATGGACAAATATTCTCAATATAGACATGATGGTAGATAATATCCTATTAAAAACAAACTGCAGTACAGAATATCTTACTACTATGAGTAAGAAAGTTTACTCATAGCTAAAGACCACCTGACTCACAAGGCTCTTTACATCTAAAATTATTCTACATTTACACACTTAAAACTGAACTGTTTTGCAATATATCTCTCATCCTTTGTTTTTGTTTTATCCTTCCATTTACCACTTTTCTTAATAACTAAGTAAACTAGTGACTACAATATTATAGTTTTAGCTAATAATCATCTTTGTGATACAATTTTCAGATTTAGCTGAAGATGGAATGAGTGTATTCCAAAATGTTCAAACTTTGTAAATAAAATGTTTTTTTTTTATGAACCATCTTCATCATTATTATTTGTCTTAAGAGCCACAGAAAACAAGATTAAGTTAACAAAAAAATACCTGGCTAAAAACACAAGATTCATATTGAAAACACGAAAGACAGTGCTGTAGCACTTCAGCAAAGGTGTCTGTTTGAGTTTGTGAATAATTCTTAAGTAGAACTGTACTTCCTTTGAACATAAATTTTATATATCACAAGACATATTTGAATTCCCCAACATCCAAGTGGGACACAAAGTAGCAAAATAAGCTGTTTTATAACTGGTACACCTTGGTTCAATAGCATACTCATTGTGTCTATAGGGTTCCTCACACATAAAACATCCAACATGACCTCAACATGGCCATATTTAGAGTACTATTAGGTGAACAGGATGTATTCAGTTACAGATTATTAGATAAACAGGATTTATTCTGTTACAGATTACTAGGTGAACAGGATGTATTCATTTACAGATTATTAGGTTAACACGATGTATTCAATTATTCAAAGGTGCAACTTGCAAGTTCAACTCTTTCAATGAACATCCATGGATAAAGAATCGTGCCACATTCTTGAAAGCCCATGCATGAACTATATCATTAATTACTGGGGATAAAACTCTTTCAATGAACATCCATGGATAACGAATAGTGCCAGATTCTTGATAGCCCATGCATGAACTATATCATTAATTACTGGGGATAAAACATCCTATATTTCAATATATTTTAATTAGATTTTCCCCAAAACTTGTTATTTTCAAACTGCTGATATTGAATATTGCAATCCATATTATTCTTCATAAGTTTTTCTTAACCGTCACTAGTGATATTCTACCTGTCTCTTGGAGAAATATATAGCAAGTCAATGATCCCTGCCCAAGTTATATACTACTCGTCATGATGTCATGTGCTATAATTAATTCTTAGTGATGTATATTTTATTATGAATTACAGCAAAGTTACTAATAAAGTATTTTATATAATCACTATAGTTATTTTTGGTAATTAATTAAAAAATATAAGTACAAATATGAAATAAAAATATCGGCAAAACTGTGTGGCTTTTTTCTACCTTTAAACTGCTTTGTCAAAATCATTAAACTATTGATTTTTGTTTTAATATAATTTAAATCTTTACCACAAAAATATATCAATGACATAATAAATCCAGGATATTATGTGTTCTTTCTGTGATTACTGTCATAGTGACTGTTTTATTAATGCAATAAAATTAATAAAATCAAAATATTGGAAAGAGCCTACCTCTAAATCAGGGGTGCACTCCTCAATTTTTTTATTGGGGCCAACTTGGAATGTGATTGGGACTTGGCAGGCCATAATATTTCTCCCTCCAAAAACTTTTTGAGCCTTTTGCATTTTCTACTGACTCTAAAGATTATTTAACAATTCAGTGACTTCATGTTTTGGACTTGTAGTCAGATGATTGCTTGTTTGAGACTTGCTTGCAATATGCTGTTTTGTCCTTAAGCAATATACTTTACCCCGGTTGTTTCAGTTTACCTAGCTGTATAATTGGTACCTGTTGATAACTGGTGAAGGACTGACCTCCATTCCAGGTGCAATGTGTCATCAATCTCATCCACTTGTGCCAATAAAGCCAAAGTTCAGCACTGTTTCCTAAGTGCTGTCTCAGCATATGATGTTTTTTTTGGAGGCAGTTTAAGAAGAAAAGATAAATCCTCTTCCACAGCCCTTACCTTACATTTAGGTTCAAACATAGCTATATTTTATATAATATACTACACCAACTCTCATACTGCTTCTGTGATAATTAGTAGTAAGCAAAAAAAAGATCAATGAGGATAAAACAATATTCAGGTATAAAATATGCATACTGACATGCTAAATATGCCAAAATTAACCTGTACACAAACCTTTGGAGAAAATGATAATCTGTTTTTTTTACATCCATGTCCTAGAACTCACAATGAATCACATAAAATTTACTTTTTACCGGTTTTTGATTGTAAAATGAAATTTCCTCATGTTTCAAAGGCTAGAAACTCAAAATATAAAATTAATTGACTTTTGTCGGTCTTCACAATCCATGGTAACCATGTGTGTCACAATATTCTGTAGCAGACAATAGAATTTTGTGCAATCATTACAAATTGAAACAGAGGAGTCACATGAAATGATGGCTGGAATATTTTAAGGAAGTACAATGACCTCAGTCATGACACATCTATCCGCACATTTTTTTACTTCCATAGTGTCAATTACAAGTTGAATTCAACTTGGTCTAAGTGCAGTAAAACAAGATATTCACCAACAGTCTAACTCTTTAAATTGGAAAGTACAGGTTTAAAATATTCCTCCAATAATGAATTCA